TTCAGAACTTGAAATGAACAATATGATCTCCTTTTTGTTTATTAAGCTAGTCATATTTGTATTTTTATATTGTGATACTAGTGACTTTTGACTGTTATTTTTCTGTTTGTTTGTTGTTATAACCAGTTGCATATTATATGCCTTGGTTTAATAAAAACTGAAACTGAAACTGAGTTATAAGTTCATACGCTATTGTAAGAAAATAGTTACGGATGAAATTACTTTAATTTCCATGAACATATATCATATTGAGGTTAACCATTTTAAATATGAAATAATATGGCAGAATATGCAAGAAAAAATATCTAACATATGTTTGCGGTTCGGATCGGAATATCCGTCCCTCGGGAACCCGCCCATGGGCAGTAACTCGGCAAGCCTCGTTACCGCCCAATGGGCGGGTCGGGACGGATATTCCGGTCCGAACCGCAACATATGACAGATATCATTAGTCTACTACTATTACACTGTGCTCAAATACCCGTCATATGTATGGCCAGAATCTACAGAGGGTTGTGAACTCGAACCCCTCTGGAAAGTCACCCCTGCTGATACAGTCGTGTGAAGACGATCAATATTTCACCGTTAAATTGTACGTTTTATGAAACATCTTTAAAAATGTAGTTGAATCCTATCAAAACGAGTTGGCCAAATGTTTAACGTCCTGTAAATTTTCAAGCTTACAGCATATTGCCGCATATAGCATACTGCGTCGGGACCAACAACGCACTATGCTATATGTGAAAAGTCGCAAGTATGAAAAACTACTAAGGGCAATCACTCAAAAATTTTGTTAGAGAGTTACGCTTCTTGAGCACTGTACCTCTTCCCAATGAGATCTATCCATCTGTGAAGTTTTAAGAAATTAGCTTGAATAGTTTTTTACTTCTGCCCCGGACAATAGTTCGGACGGACGGACGGACGACAAAGCGGTGACTGTATGCTCTCGAGGAGCATAAAAAATATTTGGTCGGTCTGTTTGGCTTGACGTTTTATTCTGCTTAATATTGAAAAAGGATTCTTTCTGAGGTTTTTTATTATGCAAAATTCTAAAAAATATTATCATTTTAATTACCCTTTTAATTGATGTTTTCAAAATATCGACGAAGTGCTGTAGTATGCCATTCAAATAATGCATATGGTTTACTGCGTAACCTCTTCCAAATCGTGAATTTACGAACCCGTGAATAGGTTAGGTTGAAAATATGACTTCGTGGAGTTGTAATGGTGATGTTGTAAAGGTGAAATATCACCATCGGTCTTATGTAGAACGGTTCTTGTATTACTAACGTCATGTAAATTTCTATTTGGTCTACTTTCTATAATGACATAAGTTACAATGTATTTTTATAACAAATCTTTAAATCTTTTTTCCAGAATTTAATTCGGTGCTATGAGGCACTGCCTCCATAAACCTTTTCATTAGTAGCAACACTTGCAATTTCATCCATTTCAAGTCCCCGAGAAAATAACAATAATCATTGAAATAAATTTAAAAAAAATCACCCTTTTGGCATGTAACTCAAACGGCGGTTAGGGTAATATTAGCGATCACAGGGGGCCCACACAGTGTTTGGATGGTATATACTGCTTGATAGTGACCTTAAAATGAGATTTTAGTCATAACCTTATAATATGTATATAAATATAGACAAGGGGCATTACTCGGTAAATAGAGAATTTTCGATCACCCTCAAATTCATGCGAGATTTTCCACTAATTAAATAAAAAAATTCCAAAAACTATACTGCGTTGCATAGCTTATATAATCCACAATTGATAAACACTAACTCTATTTTGATTCCCTTAGCCCATTTTACGAAATTTATTCAAAACCGTTCACTTCTGTCACAAAATTGCTTAGTCGTACGAGATGTCGCAACACCAAATTCCACGGGTAAAATATCAATTTTAAAAGGGGGAGGTACAAATAAACGCATGCAAACAATAACACAACATAGTTTCTATTACCTACCTGCGCAAATAGTCGTGAAGCGCTCTATATTCGTCTGTTTCGAACGAAATCTTCAAATTAGTGCAGAAATCTGCTTCGGCGAATACATGTTGGAAATTCTGGTCATGGTGTATGGAAACCTTTCATTGGTTGTCGTTATAAACAAAGTTCGTACCGAACCAATGAAAGGTCTCGATACTACGGCTGGTCACGTGACCGGGGTATCCCCAAGATGTCTACGTCGAAGCAGAATTCTGCTCTGATTTGAAAATTTCGTTCGAAACAGACGAATATAGAGCGCTTTACGACTATTTGCGCAGGTAGGTAATAGAAACTATGTTGTGTTATTGTTTGCATGCGTTTATTTGTACCTCCCCCTTTTAAAATTGATATTTTACCCGTGGAATTTGGTGTTGCGACATCTCGTACGAATAAGCAATTTTGTGACAGAAGTGAACGGTTTTGAATAAATTTCGTAAAATGGGCTAAGGGAACCAAAATAGAGTTAGTGTTTATCAATTGTGGATTATATAAGCTATGCAACGCAGTATAGTTTTTGGAATTTTTTAATTTATTAGTGGAAAATCTCTCATGAATTTGAGGGTGATCGAAAATTCTCTATTTACCGAGTAATGCCCCTTGTCTATATTTATATACATATTATAAGGTTATGACTAAAATCTCATTTTAAGGTCACTATCAAGCAGTATATACCATCCAAACACTGTGTGGGCCCCCTGTGTTAGCGATGTTAGTGTGGTCATCCAACCAGTCTGGAACACCCAAAGTGCTTCTGATTGGCTCTTGCGCTATGAGGTTTAAAATATGAAACAAAAGCTTTCGGTAAGACAGCACGCTCGACTATTCTAAGTGCTGGATAGTAAAATAGCCTTGATAATGTAAAAAAATTCTAAGTTCATTAATGGCCATTTTTTTTACAAATCAATGTTATAGGCCTTGGAGAGAGTACTATAATGCTAAAAAAGAAGTGTATGAAAGTTCAGCTTGCTTCAAAGCAAACTTTAATGTAAATTCTAGGTCGAAAAAGGGACATATTCTGTCAAAATGCTTGATAGCGTTACCTCCTCCTGTCTACAGGTCAGGCGTGATGGTGAACAAGTGTGCAAAGTTTCAAAGCCATATGACAAATGATGCCAATGGACTTTAAAAATATTTGAGGTGGAACGCAAACTTTAATGTAAACTATAAGTCGAAAAGGGGCATAATTCTGTCAAAATGCTAGATACAGTTACCCCCTCCTGTCTACAGGTTGGGGTCATGATGGTGAACAATTGTGTAAAGTTTCAAAGCCATATGTCAATGAATTTTGAAAATCTTTGAGGTATTACAAAAACTTTAACATAAATTTTAAGTCGAAAAAGGGGCATAATTCTGTCAAACTGCTAGATAAAGTTACCTCCTCTTGTCTACAGGTTGAGGGCTAAATGATGAAAAAGTGTGCAAAGTTTCAAAGCCATATGTCAAAGGACAGAAAATATTTGAGGTATCACAATCCTTTAACATAAGTGGTTACACCGACGCCGCCACCGACGCCGACACTCGGGTGACTAGTATAGCTCTACTTAATCTTATCGAATAGTCGAGCTAAACACAAAAATCGGTCATTGACATGTACCATAAAAAAGTAACCGAGGTTCCGAGCAGGGAATTTAATTTATTAAGGAAAGCAATAAATTGAAATTAAAATTTCGATCAAGATTCTCATTTCGGTTTATCATGCGATAAAACAGTTGTAATATATCGAGCTCGACTGTTATGTAAAAATATCATGGCCTGGGCGGTATCTCGGGGTTTCCCTACAGAAAAAGTTCTCGGCCTTACTGCCTCGATCATTTTCTGAAGAGAAAATCCCTCGATGTCGCCCCAGGCCATGATATTTCCACATAACAGTCTCGTCGCTATACTATAACGTAACAATTTTTTTTCGAACATCTTTTATGTACGTTTTTAAAATACGGTTACATTCGTTACTTTTATAAATGCTTTAACGCACGGACCGATCGCAAATAAATTGAATTAAACGGCTTTTAATTATCATTATTTTGTTCAGTATAATTGTTATTATTATTATTATTTTTATTATTATTATTATTGTTATGGTTATTATTATTATTATTACTATTACACTTAGCTCAAATATATGACCAGAATCTACAGAGGGTTGTGAACTCGAACCCCTCTGGAAAGTCTACTCCTGCTGATACAGTCGTGCGAAGACGATCTATATTTCACCGTTAAATTGTACGTGTTATGAAACATCTTTAAAAATGTAGTTAAATGTAGTTAAATCCTATCAAAACGAGATGGCCAAATGTTTAACGTCCTGTAAATTTTCAAGCTTATAGCATATTGCCGCATATAGCATACTGCGTCGGGACTTACAACACACTATGCTATATGAGGAAAGTCGCCTTGGAAAACACCATATGACATAGTGCGTCGTTAACAAGCATGTGTAAAAATCGTTTAAGAAAACCCTTACTCTTTAAAACAGAAAATTGAGTGGCAATTGTAAATTGATTCTTTTATTTAAAAAAAATATATTAAAAAGTTTTCAATGTAATTAAGATAAGTTATACTTCACATTTTTTGAAACAATAGCCGGGAGAACCGGTGATGCTCCCCGAGACCACCTCTTGAGTTTAAAGTTGACATATTTAGTAGTTTTAGAATAAAGTATGAAAAACTACTAAGGGCAATCACTCAAAAATTATGTTAGAGAGTTACGGTTCTTGAGCACTGCACCTCTTCCCAATGAGATCCGTCCATCTGTGAAATTTTAAGAAAGTAGCTTGAATAGTTTTTACTTCTGTCCCGGACAATAGTTCGGACGGACGGACGGACAAAGCGGTGACTGTATGCTCTCGAGGAGCATAAAAAATGTTTGGTCGTTCTGTTTGGCTTGGCGTTTTATTCTGCTTAATATTGAAAAAGGATTCTTTCTGAGGTATTTTATTATGCAAAATACTAAAATATATTATCATTTTAATAACCCTTTAATTGATGTTTTCAAAATATCGACGAAGTGTTGTAGTATGCCATTCAAAAAATGCATATGGCATACTGCGTAACCCTTTCCAAATCGTGAATTTACGAACCCGTGAAAAGGTTAGGTTGAAAATATGACTTCGTGGAGTTGAAACTGTGATGTCGTAAAGTTGAAATATCCCCATCGGTCTTATGTTGAACGGTTCTTGTCTAACTAACGTCATGTAAATTTCTATTTGTTCTACTTTCTATAATCACACATTGATAAATATAAATAAATACATCATATGCATTTTATCGTACTTTCTCTAAACGAAATAGTGAATTGCAATCACTGATATTTTTTATTGACGATACGTGAAGATCTTCGTCCATCCGCAAAAAGCGACCTGTTGCTTTTGTCCGAATCCTACACAGATTCTGTGTTTCCATGGTTACCCTAAAACGCATGCGGTTATCGTCCGGATTTTGTTTTCCGTTCAAACATCTGGAATGAGCACCAGAAACACCAAAGCCATCAAACAAAAATACTTTTCTACATTTAGACTGAAAATAAAGATACAGTTTAACTTATACGACTGAAAAGAAATGCTGCATAGAACATGATAATACAAAAGCAACGACATCGTTGATGACATGCCATTTTGAAATTGATTACATAGTACTCTTCTTATAAAGAAAAAACATAAAGAAAACTACACCAGTCATAAACAAGATCGTAATATATTGAAAGCTCAAAAGAAACACAAAGTTTAAAGTACAATGGCAAACGTTCTAAATGGTCAAATAGAATAATGAAAATCAAAGAATAAGTTTCAACTTAAACACATGGATATAAACGGAATATATGAATTTTGAATCAGTTATAGAAATTATTTCAAGGCATTATCCATTTCTTTTTCCAAATCATCTATGTTGTCATAGAAATGTCATACAGGTATTTGTATTTTATATTTCCTATGACAATTTTAAGCCTTGTTTAATGAAATTTTTGTGAGTATTGACTATTAAGAGATGCGACAACAAAGGGAACTTTAAGTTAGCACAGAAAGTTTTCTTAAACTTTGCATGATTTGAAGAGAATGATAATTAAAGTACTAAAAGGTCTAAAAATTGAGGTCACAATGCTCCTTTTTAAATAACCTACCCCTGAAACCGAGCTTGTTTGCTGTTATCGGTCATTATCATGTCATCTAGCATTTAGTAATATAAATTAATTAATATAATCACGCACCAAACTCTGTTATGTTATGTATATTACACAACATGTGAAATGTTATTTTTCAGCGTATACTAAAACTCACCATAATTTTGTAAGATCCGTCGTTCATTTTGACGAATTTGAACTTTGTGAATGAATCCAGTGGTTGCCGTATCCCTGGTATCCCTGACACACATTGCTGGTTACTTTCGTCGTATTGCCAGTGTTTTCCGTCTGATTGTCGAGACAGTCTGTATGTCTGTCCATCCAAATTTACTGAAATGCAAGTGCATTTTAACGTTTATTATAAGTTTTTGAGAGTGCTGAAACAAAAATTGTTGTTAAAATGTATGTTTCTTATATTTTCTAATATCATCTTTGTGAATAAAAGAATAGCTTTTTAAAATAACCTTACTTTCTTTTGATTTACATGCAGCTTCAATGTATTTTTTGTACAAATAAAACAAAGGCGTACCTTTGATGGGCGGCCTTTGTTTAATTGTACAGTTACTTGTCCGAACTATTGTTCCTGATATACGTGTTGTTTTTTCTGGTGTCGTAGAGTTCGTTATAGATATAAGAGATGTCGTAGTTTCTAAGTCATTGCTTTTTGTGGAAACACGATTCGGCAAAGTCGACAATTTAGTTGTTTTCTTGAAACGAGACTCATCATGTCGATGGAAGTGATTCTTTTCACGTTTTTCACATGCGTTATTCCCTATAGAATATCCAACAGATAAACTACACCCAATAAGAACGAATATTACAATAAGTCCAACAACAACTGTACAGCGAATTTCGAGTTTTTTGCCCACCAGCTTATAGTTACCGGCGCAGGGGGTAATTTGTCCCCGTTTAGCGAATTATAAATATGCTCGGGTCTCCCCGATTCTGAGTTAATATAAAGGTCCGCATAACAATTATTGGTTACAGTCGTCATAGTTGCAAATAAACAACACTAATGATATTGACGGTCTTTTCATGTTCTTATTGTAAGAAGTTGTAAGCATTAATCACGCTTTGCCTAGTTCGTGATATAAAGAAGTAACAAAACGAGTGACTGGAAAAGGAAAGAAAGAAAAGCAAACCAACAGGATTACGTAAATTTTTCTGTTAAATTTTACTTGATTTTATACATGATATATGAATTGCTTATCAAATAATGCAGAACACTTGTTCTTATGAGTCATTTAACAACAGGGCATTTCCTAAATTGTCATTGATTCAAATACAAATGTAGCTCAAAATAGCTGTAGCTATGAAATTCTAAGAAGGCAGTAGGCGTTTCAGTCTCTAATTAAATATATTTATTTTTCAAGTCATGTTCAATAAATCATGAAAGCTTGAGGGAAATTGATAAATAGATATAAATCGGGGCACCAATCAATCACATACCAACATGAAAAGAAATGCGATTCAATAATCAATATGTTTAGTAAATTATAACAATACCATTATCAACAAAAATGAAAGGAAAATCAATAAAAAATAAACCATTATTGTTTTCAGCTTGTTGTATTGCATTATCCATTTTGAAAATGCGTAATTTGTGTTATAAGAAGATGAAGAAGGAGAAGTAAATGAAAAACTTATGTATAGGATTGCTTCTAACCAATAACAACGGGAGAAAACCAAAATTGCTTTTACCTTACAGTTTCAGTTACCTAATAAACAAATTATTTCTTTGACAAATCAAAAAAAAAAAAATATTCCACTTAAAAAAATACAACATAACATGGTTTCCATTTATTCTTTATAAATAATGATATTCGGTCTGTTGTAATATTTTGTCTAAACGCTTATTCACAAAAAAGAACATTCGAATTGATGATTGAAGTCATCGCCAATACCAATGTTACATTAAGTACTAAAAATCAAAGGGGTTTTACCCCAACATCCAATTCCTACAGGGAGCCAAAGGATTTTTGTTCGAAAGATATGCATACTTAGAAGGTGCATTTACTTAATATTTCTTAAATTCAAATGATTCTTTAAAATAATTTGCATTTGCACACCTATCCGATTTTTTTCTATTATTGATAACCAATCATTGAAGAAAAGGTCAGACAATTTCTGATGTATAATACCTTTTAGTCATTTGCTGTCTGGAAACTATTCATGTGTCAAAATACCATTTAAACCACGTGCAAATTTTATGTTTGTTAAACATAAAATTTATTCTTTTGTACAGGCTTAAAATAGTTATATTGAGTTAGTAATGAACAATACAATGTTGTTTACTAGGTTGTATGCATACAAAACAAAGAATTGTTTAGTTTGACTTAGAAGCAACTATCAGAATAATTCAAACGAAAATAAAGAAACTTAGTAGTGCTAAATAATTGTTTAATCATGTAAAATACACATTTTACTTTGTCCTTTTCACCCCATAAGTACAATTTGAGTCAAGGGTCACCTTAATCTGAACATTTTTTGTACATTTTCACAAAGGAAACTTTGTGTAAAATTATCCAGTGGTTGAGATGTTGTTAAGTTGTTGTTATTTTCTAATTTTAGCTATGGCAGCCATTCTATTAAAAGAAGATTGTTTAAGTTTTCTTTTATAAATATATACATATAAGGAAAATCAATGACCCCCTGTGGCAGGGCCAATTTTGACCTTAAGGCTTTTATTTAAAAAGAAAACTTGATAGACATCCACCAGAACATGTTTCATGCAAAATATCTAAGCTCTAGCCCATAAATAGCTTTTTACAAGAAGAGTTCTTTATGGAATTTAATTCTTTGAACAATTTTCGTAGAGCTTCATTCAAGAGATATCCTTGCAAAGTTTCAACAAATTTGGCCAACAGGTTTAGGAGGAGAAGTTGTTTACAGAAATTGTTGACGCACGGACGGAAGATGGACTACGGACAATGGGCCATCACTAAAGGTCACCTTGAGGACATTGTCTATTGGAATATCACTTGGTACAAATGCTGAAAGTGCATTGGTTATATCAGATGTGAACATATATGAGCCGTGTCACGACAAAACCAACATAATGGGTTTGTGACCAGCATGGATCCAGACCAGCCTGCGCATCCGCTCAGTCTGATCAGGATCCATGCTGTTCGCTTACCAACCCTATTACATGTAGCGAACAGCATGGATCCTGATCAGACTGCGCGGATGCGCAGGCTGGTCTGGATCCATGCTGGTCGCAAACCCATTATGTTGGTTTTGTCATCACACGGCTCATATGTATTTGCTTATTCAGTAGCCGTTTTATGTCAACCAGATGAAATTGAAAATATATAGACATGCATTTTATTATCTTCTCCATGATTATATTTCGGCGCAAATATTTTCACATTCATTAACAATACCACCAAAATGGTTTTGAACATAATTTTATTATAACGTTCGTCAGGAGTTAAAACAATAGAAAATCAAATACACATATTAGTAGTCATAGTCGGTAAGTGGCGACTGAGGTAAATTATCATTGACGAGCCCTCTGTCGAGTTAACTTGCTTTTTAACTCCGCGGTGGAGTTTTGATGCTAGGAAATTTAACACAAAGTTATAAGTAAAAACACTGTTACATAATCTATAGTGGTATATCAGAACTTCTGACTTTTAAAGCCGAAAGGCAAATCTTGTTTAGTGATGGTAATAGAACGGTGCCTATAATTGACACCTAATTAACATTATTGTAAACTTTTTAGTATTTGATAAGAATTGTCTGCCTTCAAAATATTATGAAAAGTTTATTATGTTATAAGAAACTTATTAACACAAGTTGTCTTTTTTCAATCAACTAAAAATGAGGAAATAAATATATGTTTATACTTCTACGAGCTAAAACAACGACCTTTTGTCTGCCATATTGTATCTTGATGATACGTATTTTTCCGAGTCCAGCCGAACGAAACGATTTGTAGCTTTTGTTTTAATTCTGTAGAAGCATTGAGTTTCCATGGTTATATAGTATCGCATATGATCGTCATCCGTTTTGGTCATCACCATTAAGATATATCTCACGTGCACCAGGCACACCATACCCATTGTGCATGTACCGTAGCAAAGCAAACGATAGAAATTAAAGGTAAGAACATAACAATTATATTTCAAATGTGATTCCGCACTGCCAATGATCAACCCTATTGCCCTAATCCTCAATTATTCTTAATCAAGGACGATGAACTGTAAAATATAATTAGCATTGTACAAATTGGGTTGGGCAGTCGCAATTCGGTGATACCTAATCGCCAAGAAAGCATACACAATCCATGATTAAGCCCCGTGACTCCGCTACGCTTCAATCTTATCTACACTCGACCATTCTGGCTATTACATAACCCATGTTCGAACATACATGTCACTTACAATTCACCTCCGAATTGACCCTTTCACTGCCATAGGGGCGGCTTAAGCCGTCCCTGTTATTTTCGGCGTATTTGCCATATGGACGGCTTTAGCCGTTTCTATAATAATCATAATAATAATAATAAATTAATAATAATAATAATAATAATAATAAATACAAAGAAAATTATACCATCGACAATAATTATTATTATACTAGCATATTTGGAAATATATATAATTATTATAATACTGATAACATTCAAAGAATAATAATAATTATATTAATTAATAATATAGTATTTTTTTAGAAAACCCTCTGGCAAATAAGTGATCAATAAAACAATAACCCTCTGGCAGCGAAAGGGTTAAACCTTATTACAGATCTGATCTCTCCTCTCGTACAAGATTTCTGCAAATATAATAGCTCAACTAAGTCAACTTATAGACGAGATAATTATTTGTGAAATTCGATTTTGTGATTACTCGACCATTACTCGACCAAACAATACGATCTTTTCTTATGACCGTGCCTTTAAGGCAATACTAGTACTCGATTGTCTGCAATTTCTTTTTGTCGTGTAAGAAGGCCCGATGGCGAACAAGCAAAACCACTTCAACCACTTCTGTCCAAAAAGCATGACGACTCCCTGGAAGTTTCGTCTTACTTAACTGATCAAATCGGCGGCGTGAATTACTCTTGTTACCAGTGCATACTAAAACGTTGTTAACAATAGTCTCAATATGAAAGTAAGCTATTTTGTATTTACATTCCACTACAAACTTGTTTTTAAATTAAAATGTAAGAAATGATTTAAATAAAGAACAATCATGTTCAATTAAACTGCAGGTATATCTTTTATAAACTGTTAATAATGTTTGAGTTAGGCCGGTGTAAGGTTTTGTCCATGAATAGGCTCAGTCAAGCTGAGCCGGCAACATTTTCAATTTTGTCTTTTTATGCGTTATTTAGAAATTCATTTTCTCTTTATTTTATTGCCACCTCAGTGTTATTTGTGCCGTGTGGAGGCCGTCAAAAGTCGCCACGTACATTTTTCTATCATTGAAGATCGTTCGACACGATAGTATTGTTTATGCATTTTTTGTGGTATCCTTAGTTTATTCTTTTCAAATTTTCCTATTTGAATACTCTTTTATCACCCTATGTATATGATACCGGCTTTTGAAATTTATCTTTTGACAGCTTATCTGCCTTATGCTGGCTTCATAACCTCTGATCCCCTTTCAATTTCCAATTTTTAAATTTAGCCCTTAGGCACACGCATTATTTTACATGGGGAGAGACATCGCTTTTCGTGGAACGGCACGAACGTGTCACATAGAAGGTTCCATGATTACCGCCGCAGATGTTACTTTATTCAAATTTTCGTGTTTAATTTTGAAATTCTGCTTAACCCGGTGATAGGAAGAGTGGACGTCAGCTTGCACCTACCGGTACCGTTCATGTATAGGCTCAAAAAAACCAAACCTGCAACATTTTCAATTTTGTTGATTTGAGCGTTCTTTAGGGATTCCGTTGCTCTATCTTAAAGATCCTGTATGTTGTAATTAAGGTTGCTACTGAAGTAAAATGTTATATATGTATATAATTATGTTTCTAAAAGAATGTTCATACATCGAAGAAAATGTATTGCAATTATGTGTCCGCATTTTATGTAATCATAAAATTTTTTATGTTATCATAAAAAATATATGCATTCAAATCTTATTTAAAAACTTGACTTAGACTTTATAGAAAATGAATTTCTAATTACCTCTCTTTATTAACATGAAATGTAAATTCGGTAATATCTTTACAAATAATGCTTTTTGGACCTTACAGTAATGATAAATCTTCATTTGAGCATTACATTTATGATATAAAACCATAAAAAATTAAGTAACAGGATCTTTAAAACACATTCTATTTGCCTGAACTCGGCCAACAATATTTACATAAGTGACACAACATTATAAAATAGCCATGTAGCCAATTTTGATTTTAATGAAATTACAAAGTCTTAATCATGGATACATGAGCTTCAAGCTTAGATCGCATGAAGGTGAAATCTTGAATTTAAGAAGTTGAAATCGTGAGCTTATGAAATTTAAATTGTGAATATACGAACTCGTGAGACTGGCATCGTGAATTGGTGAGATTAAAATCATGATTTTTGTGGAGTTGAAGTCGTGATATTGTAAAGTTGAAATGTCACTATCGGTCTGAAGTAGAAATGTTCTTCGTTTGCTAACGGCATGTTTAGTTGTTTACTTCATGTTATTCTACTTTTTCTTAATACACACTTATGAATTTACATAAATACATTATTTGCATTTTACATGTAAGCGTACTTTCTCTAATGAAATAGAGAATTGCTATCCTTGGCATTCTTTGTTAATGGCACGTGAAGATCGTCGTCCATCAGCAAACATGGTCCGAATTCTACATAATGGGCGGCGTAACGACAAAACCAACATAATGGGTTGGCGACCAGCATGGATCCAGACCAGCCTTCGCATCCGCACAGGCTGATTAGGATCCATGCTGGTCGCTTACAAACCCTATTACAAGTAGAGAAACTGATAGCGAACAGCATGGATCCTGATCAGACTGCGCGGATGCGCAGGCTGGTCTGGATCCATGCTGGTCGCAAACCCATTATGTTGGTTTTGTCGTGACGCGGCTCATATACTCCGTTTTTTCCATGGGTTATATTGAAACGCATGTGGTCCTCATCCGGATTTTGTTTTCCGTTCAAATATCAGGATTTAGCACAATCAAACAAAAATCCTTTTTAAATATTGACTGAAAATAAGGATATAGTTTTACGTCTGTAGAGAGACGCAGCGTTGAAGCCACTTAGAATTTAGAATAATAACAATATATCAATATATGAAAACAACAACGTTATTAGTATAATCTTTCGACATAAATTATATAGCACTCTTCCTATAAAAAGGAAACATAAAAAAATCTCTAAGCTACACCAGCCACAAACAAGATCGAAATATATAGCTATTTGACAAAAATACAAGGTTAAAAAAATGCTCAAAAACGTTGCATGTTGTTAAATAAAATAACAAAAAAAAAAGAAGAAGTTTCAATTTAAAAAATGTACATATACGGAATATATGAATTATTGTGAATCAGTAATAGATTTTTTAAGGCCCCTTCCATTTGATTTTTAAATAATATATGTTGCCATAGAAATGACATGCGGACATAGGTGCCACCGTAGTTTATATTTCCCTTGACAATTTGAGGACATTTTCGGGATTATTGCATTTTTAAAGAAACGACAAAGAAGGGAAGTTTTAAATTAGCTCCGATGATTTTACTTATATTTGAATGATTTAAGAAAACAAATTTAAAATCTTTATGTAGTATAAAATCAAACTCACAGTGCTACTGTTTGAATAATCAGTCGATGAAAATTGAAACTGTTTGCTCTTTTAGGTTAGGTCATGTCATATTTCAAACAGCGGAGCTTAGAATAAATGAACACAATTTTAGACGTGAAACAAAAAAAACAACCCCCACTAAAAAAACATAAACAATACCCATAAAAAACACCCGCAAAAACAGAACCAATCAAAACAAAATAAAAAATATGTCTCTATTGCGTTATTTTTTGTCTCTCAAATAAAAAGTGATAATGAGCAACACATCCTCTTTTTAAAATGACATGCCACAGAAAATGTGTGGTCATAAACGTCAGAAATCATTCATAATGTACGTTTATTGTTTATCATTAATTAAAGTATAACATTGTTTACAGAGGAAAAACCTCGTTACAATGAACTTTAGCTGTATGACCTACAATGAACTTCAGTGATATGACGTCATCAAACAATTAATTAATGAGTTCCGGAATGTTTAAATTTTACATGTTTCAGTGAAATATACAATGTTTACATTAAAGGTATACAAACATAACATTTTGGTAAACAATCGCATTTTCTTTGGCCATTTCCGTCAAATTCCGTAGGAAAGTAATGTGATATTGTATTGTTGATTTTTAAGTGTCAGTGACACGACTAAAAGATAACCTTGAAAACCCAACCACGTTTGAATTTACACACGTGTCAATTGTTTTTCTCGTTCAAGATGATTGATCAGGGCATACGACAATATATCATGTCCTTAACTTACAAACATTTACTCAGAAAAAAGAATTGCCCCATTGAAAGGAAACAGAAACATTTTATTAAAGCCTGTAAACAAAGCCTCATATTTCTGTTATTTTTACACTACATCATCTTTAAAACTCAGATATATGAATGCGTTTATATAAATTATTTCAAACAAAGCAATTTGCACGCGCTTTTCGTGCAAATCGGACAATATATACCTGAATAGAATTAGTCTGATTTAAGTATGGAAACACATTTCCTATGTTGTAAAGTATGTGACCTAAAATTATATTTCAATATGCTTGTTATAACGATGTACCTATGTGTGTACAAGTTATGAAATAAACTCTGTTCTGTTCTATTCATAATTAAGATTACTTTTTGAAGCACCCTCGTATATTATAGTCATGCATTTTAGTATGCCCTCCATGATTATGTTCCTGGACCAGTAGAAAAAAATCACAGTTATTTACAATGCAACCAGCATGTTTGTTTAATATTTTATTATTATAATAGTTTTTTTATAAGGAATTAAATAAAATAATACAAAATCATATAAACGTAAAAATATACGTATATAATACCTGTTATATACCTTAATTATCAAATAATTACATTTGTGAACACGGTAGTAGATAGTTTGAACTTTTTGTTGGTTTGTTTGTTATTTTTTTTTTCTTTTTTTTTTTGAGGGAGAACGTTTCCTTTTAAATGTTCAAAAGTGTAAAATAATATTACGTATTATGACATAGATTATCTTAATCAGTCAAGTTTATAATGTTTAACATTATTGTACACCAACTAAATTTGAAAAGAGTATTCTGCTTTTTAGAAATTATGACACAAAGTCATTGTGTCTTTGATAAAAGAAATTGATAAACACAAGTTGTCTTGTTTTAGTCAAAATTCATTTTTGTTTACACCACTACGAGCTTAAACAGCGATCTATCGTCTGCTATATTTTCTCTTGATGATACGTAATTGTCCGAGTCAAGCCGAACGTAACGATTCGTTGCTTTTGTTTGAATTCTGTAGAAGTCTTGTGTTTCCATGGTTACAAAGAATCGCATATGATCGTCATCCGTTTGGTCGTCACCATTTAGATATATCCCACGTGCACCTGACACGTTATACCCGTCGTACATGTATCTTGGCATGGCAAACGACTTAAAAAAGAAAAATATATATAAAACGTTAGAACACAATGCACATATTACGAAACTGCCGATCTGATCAACCCAATCTCCCGACTAAACCAAGGTCGACAAGTTGAAAACTATAATTAGCATTGTACAAAGGTTTAGAAATCGCCAATCGGCGATATCCTATCGCCAAGAGAGCATACACGGACCATGAACGAGCTACCTTGACTCCTCTACGATTCAATCTTACCTAATTATTCGATCTACACTCGATCATTCTGGACATTACATAATCAATGTTCGAGCACAATTAAACATAAACATAATAACACGTCTAATCCCTCCCTGGTCATTATGTATCGCTCACGACCAGTACATGATCCCTGCAAAGTATTTGCTCAACCTACTCAACTTATAGAGGACATGATCAGGTGTGAAATTCAGAGCATCTATGAGTTCTGTATGATTGTTTTCTTATAACTCGACCATTACTCGACAACACAAACCGATCTCTTCTTATTATTGTTGAAGAAACACACTCGATCGATTGTAATTTTGTCGTGAAGGAGGGTAGAGCAGCCGGTTGCGATCAAACAAAGCCACTCCAACCACTTTTGTCCAATAAGCATGACGACTTCTTTGAATTTTCTAATCACTTAACTGAATCGGATCGGCGGTGTGAATTACGATTGATACCAATGATGAAATCTTAACATACAACTTAGTTAAATCTTAATTACCAAATACGAGTAGTACTTTCGATATGACGCCACAAATCAGACGTTTTTTTTCTAGTTTTGCTGTTTCTTAATTCCTGAAAAAAGAAATAATGAATTGTATAAAAAAAATCAAGCGCCTCACCTTTATTTTATATGAATCGTCAGTTTGCTTCTCAAAAGTAAATTTAACATAATCATCATTTGGTTGAACCAATGACGAAACAACTTTAAGGACTTCGTTACCTCCGTCGAAATGCCAAAATTGATTGTTTTCTTTTGCCTGTATCTTGAACACTTTTCCTTCAATATTTACTGAAAATAAGAGTTTGAGATGTAATTTTAGATAGGTATGCCGATATTATTATACTGTTTTCCTTCGTTTTATAACAATTATTGTTATCATTTTTATTACAATCATCATCATTATCAGCATCCTCATCACTACCACCACCATCGACTTTCTCGTCGTCCTACTTGTTATCATTATCATCATTATCATGCTTGTAGTTAAAGATAAAGACAACTGAAGTATTATTATAACATCACTTTTAAGCATCACTGTTAACTAAAAAGGCAGCAGAAGCAGAAACATAGTAGCAAGAAGGGCAGTTGCATATATAATATGACTATCATCATCATCATCATCATCATAATCATCATCATCATCATCATCATCATCATCATCATCATCATCATCATCATCATTATCATCATCATCATAATCATCATCATCACCATCATCATCATTCCTACCACGATCATCACCGCCATAACAACAGCCAACACGACCAAAAGAACTATTTTGTAGTATTATTGCTGTCCAAGAACAGTACATCCATCATCATCATCATCATCATCAAGAAAACATACTTTTGTGTACATTTACATCATGGTCAGCACTCTTTCCCGTCATCATTATCATTGCTCCATTACTTATAAAAGGGTACATTCAAATGTTTGTTTCTTTCTTTACACACCTACAACCGTTGACTTGCAGTTTTTATGTACATACGTTTTTCTTATGGAAAACAAAATGTATTTATACGCTTGTGAACTCGTATGTCGCAGAGGATAATGAAAATAATAAAGACGACATTTTAGAAACTGATAGAATGTAGACGATACTGTCAAGATATTAATAACTTCTAATAGCAGTAAAGATAATACTCATCTAAAGTGGTTCTGTTAACGTTTGACCCACTGTTAATTTAAGGCAGGGTATGATGCATTTTTGTGTTTTTTTCAGTTGGATGTTGTAAAAATATGAAAATACAAAAACCATCAGGCATCAATTACTAAAATGGGAGCTTGATTTATCGGGATGGATAACATCTAGAAACGAATTTATAACATGACTTTCAGCTTTTCCGTTCACTTGAAAGCCCATTAAAATCTAGACATCTTTTTCATTCTATATTCATTTATTTTAAGCTTTTTAATTTTGGTATACTTTATAGTTTCAAAATGTAGCTTATGAGCCAATTACCGGAACCAATTTTTTTTTTCTTCTTTCGCTATTTGACAATTGGTACTGTTACAGGGATTTAGTATTTTTCTATCAAAGTAAAAAACACTATTTTGTTTCCATTTTCGACTTTAATGACAAATAATACATTTAGCGCTACATTCTTCAGATAACAAATATCTTATATCCTCTTACATCATTGTTGAAACGATATATAACTGAGCCGCGCCATGACAAAACCAACATTAAGGGTTTGCGCAGTCTGATCAGGATCCATGTTGTTCGCTATCAGTTTCTTTACTGTTGTAGGGTTAGTAAGCGAACAGCATGGATCCTGGTCAGATTGCGCGGATGCGCAGGCTGGTCTGGATCCATGCTGGTCGCAAACCCATAATGTTGGTTTTGTCATGGCGCGGCTCATTACTCCTTTTTGCCCTCTAGAAAGAAGTAAAAATTTATTCGTTTCTGAAGCAGTCTGTGTCTTCAATTAGAAGTTGTCATGTCCCAACAAGACTACCCTTTTCCTATTCAGAAGTTAATAAAGTCCTGATTTAGAGTGTCTTCAAGTTAGTCTTTATAACAATTTTATACGGTCCTGTAGTAGACAGCAGTAAAAGCATTTTTATCTAAAGTGAATAAAATATCAAACGAAAAGAATAGAGACTTCAGTATACATGTCTTATAACAACGTGATTTGTGTTGAACAAGGAATTGTATAAATTTAATATTACTCATGAAAATTGAATGCTACTGGACTGAACAAGTCAGTCGTTGTAAATGTGACACTATAAAACTGTTAATTTTAATCGGGCGGCCGGGAAGTTTTGTCGGTAGAGCTAGGGAATGGGATCGAGTCCAGGTCAGGCACTTTTCTGTATCCATCGGAAATTGAAGAGAAATTGCAATATAAAAGGGGAAATAATGAAAAGTTGATCTGTCGGTAGTGTTGAGAAATATATATTTGGTGGTCCCATGTCAGAGGCCCGAACTGGCTACATATTTATTTACCCAGTGACACAGACGCAAACTGCAATCGGTAAACAAAAGCCATTATAATGAAGCATTGTTGAAATCTTAAACAAGAGTGCCAAAATGGCTCTAGATCGCTCACCTGATCCATCGAACTCATCCAGACAATGATTAGTACAGATTAAACCATGCCACCAGTAAAACCTCCAAAGAATCAATTTTGAGACTATCTTCTAGAGGCTTATCAGTTGAGATTTTACCTGTATGCATCTCAGCAAATCTAAATAGAGATCTTGCGTCTGCTCTATTCAATCTGGATGATACATATCCGATCGCGTCCAGCCGAACGTAACGATTTGTTGCTTTTGTTTTTATTCTGTAGGATTTCGGTGTTTCCATGGTTATATAGTATCGCATATGATCGTCATCCGTTTGGTCATTACCATTTAGATATACTCCACGTGCACCAGACACGTTATACCCATCGTAAATATATCTTGGTACAGCAAACGACTGAAATGTAAGATATGAACGGTACGTAAGAAAATGATATATCATAAAACGCCTTTCACACTGCTGCTTCTACTAACATTTTAACATTTTCTGATTCTTCTATTTACTATATATAATTATATAAGTTGCTGACGGGATATATGGGAAAAATCATTTGAATGAGATACAATTTGACCCAAGGCGCAAGCCGATAATTACATTAGGGCCAGTTACATAGACGGTCGCTCCCCAATCGGTCATTTAATTTTTAAAATACTCGCTGTTATGATCGGTTGTCATGCGTGATTGTATTTCTGGTTTTCTGTGTAAACGGCCATCGGTGACAGAAAGCAAACTGAAATCGGGTTTGGTCAGTGATGAAAATGCTGAAATACGATCGGTTTCATCGTTTGTAAATCGAAGCTAAATCGGTGTTAACGCTGATTAACCGGTGTCTGATAGCTAGTCATCAGTGTAAAACACTTTCCGTCAGATATGGCCGGTGATTCATATTTGGTTATCTTTGTCCGATCGGCGATATCGGTGATTAAGAGCTTGCATATCTCGTGATATAGGTTGCTGTCGGTTATTTGAAAAATATTTTCACCGATCGAGAATTTTAAACATGTTTAAAAATCCCAATCGGTAATTTTCACAGATGAAACTTATCTTTCCCCAATAGCAGTTGATAGGTGGTAAACAGGTGACCAATAGGTGATATCGGTGTTAAATACGTTGTCATCGGTTCACTCCATAAGTTGGCTAAAATAACTACCGATCAATCACCGATGGCTCTGTGTAACTGGGATGTTACGTAGGCAATATTATATTTTCCCGTATATCTAGTCAGAAGTTGGTTAACAAATTTATAATAACGCAAACTGATATGACTACAAGTACATAAGAAAAACACAGACATCTTTGACTGTTTTCGACGGAGCGCAAGAAAAAAGGCGTGGGCAAATAAAATGTCGCCAGACGTTCATAGTCTACGATAATGCTGCGCAATAAAAATCATTCGAGTAAACTGCTTCCATGATCGAGAACTACGCCATAAAGAACAAAAACGCAATAACAAACTTTATGTATACGCGCAGTAAACCGTCTGCGATTTGTGTATGGATCAGTTCTTCTAAAAACTTGAAAGTTGATCAACGATGAGCATTTTGTGGCCAGTCCTTATGAAAAGATAGAGTGTTTTAACGAAGTAAAAAAGTGTAAAATTTGAAATGAAATAAAATAAAGCGTCCGCTTATAATATAGGATTTCATTCCGTAAAACCGTCTCTTTAACAGAAAATCATACTTGTAAATACAAAAATATACATCACACCTTTATTTTGTATGATCCGTCCATTTGTTTTTCAAAAGTAAACTTAAGAAAATCACTCCTTGGTTGCGACGTAAACTGCCTTACAGCTTTTAGATCTGAATTATTCCCGTCGTAATACCACCATTCACCAGCTTTCAGTTCGAATATCTGGAACACTTTTCCCTGAAGATTTACTGAAAGACAAATTATCAATAGAGCTTATAATTATCATCCCTTTCTTTGTTTAATCAGGTAAATAAAAAAGTAAACGTATTCATGAATATTTATATCAAAATTGTTTCTCCTCATTATAATTGTAATTTTTGTTGTTGTTGTTGTTATACAATGTTATAATAAATACTATTATATGATCGTTAAGTTGCATCAAGAACTTCGGTATTATAGTCAGCACTTCTATCGCCGTCAACATCATAAGCTATTTGCTTTGACCATTTAAGAAGTCAACTTTTTTAAACTGCAGTCATTATTTCACATACATACATTCCTTGATATGCAACATTTTATATACATATTTCCGATGAATCTGGCGATATACGATATTTCACAATATCCTCATTCTTTACAAATATTATTTTGTTGCCGTCAAAGATTATCATATCGCAGATAAAAATGAGTATGTCGCCAAAAATCTGGTAACCATTTCAGCATCTTCTAATTTATAAATGATAACGATGTAAACGACATCTAAGAAATTAATGATAATGTCGGTGGAGACACGGCGACAATTATGATTTAATTTTAAAGAATGAAGACTATAATGACGAAAATCGTGATAAATAATGATGATAACTTTGATGATAATGATAAAGTACAGAGATTGATCCTTGAAGAGATATCAATCACTGATTCTTACATGTACATGAATACATGGGGGCCTTTGTTCTTCATCTGATATGCTTATCAGTTAAAAGTGTACCTCTATCCACTTCTATGAACTGAAACAACGACCTGTCGTCTGCTATATTGAACCTTGATGAGACGTATTCGTCCGGATCAAGCCGAACGTACCGATTTGTTGCTTTTGTTTTTATTCTGAAGTAGCCTTGCGTTTCCATGGTTATGTAGTAACGCATATGATCGTCGTCTGTTTGGTTGTAACCATTTAGATATATCTCTTTTGCACCAGACACGTTATATCCGTCATACATGTATCTCGGCCTCCCAAATGACTAAAAATTACACAAAAGAAAGTGATGTATCATAATATAGCATTTTCACTGCCAATCCGATCTTGTTAATCGTTCCAATCACCCACAATTTTTAAATGAAAATAATAATCAGCATCGATTACTACTACGTTATCATTCATGACTTTTGAAAGAGCCTCCACGAATCTTCAATAAATGTAACGTTTAAACATTTTTCAGTATGGGACAAAAAATTAACTTCCACATTGAAAACTATTCTATGAAGCCTTGTTTTTATGCTTTTCATACAGCTTTTTAAATTCATTTATTCCAAAATATTATAAAAAGCGATTTGTTTCCATTCCTTTCCAATCATCGGGGTCCCTCCAATTTAAGGTGTGGTGTCCTTCGGATTATGTCAGGGCTGCGATTTGTGAACGTCGCCTTGCCTTGTTAATCTTTGTTCTCATTTCTTATGTGTTTATTCTTTTGTCTGTGCCTACTTTTATAACGAAGCCAATTATTTTAAAATCATTTGTCTAACCTGAACTAAATAAAGAAAACAAAATACTTTATGGAACTCCGTGTCCGCTTTATGCAAAGCGTTACTTTAATCTTTTGTATCAGACAAAAACTATACTTCCGATATCAAACGATACAAACAAAATATTTCAAATAATTTTACCATCTCAAAAATTAAGAGAAACTGATGAAATATATATAAATGAATTATGTGCTGTACCTTTATTTTGTATGATCCGTCTATTTGTTTCTCAAAAGTAAACTTTACAAAATTGCCGTTCTGAATCCATTTAAAGGATTTAGCAGTTGCTCCGTCAAAATACAAACACTGGTAATTGTCTTTTGTGTGAATCTTGAACACCCTTCCTTCAAGATTTGCTGAAAGTAGTTAAAAGATGTTTACAATCATCACTATCATCATTTTCAATTAAATGAGAAACATGCAAAATAACATTTTCTGTGTCGGCACGACATAAAACCCCAAAATATACAGCACCAGTAGTAATATCATTATGGCTGAAACTGTAGCATGACCATTGGCATCGTTAAAACAGTCACCATCAATCATCAATCATTTTTGTGCAATATATTTGCCCTTTCCAGGACATTTAAAATATACAAAGTCGATATTGTCATTATCAATGTCATTACTACTATATTTTATATTCAAGATGACTATCTTGTGAGGCTCGTCAGCGGCATCATAGTCAGCTTTTGTACCTTTAGCTTATCATACAAGCAGACACATATATGTGTTTTTAACATACTCCCTATGACATGCAACCTCTTTAAGCAGATATTTCGGTAAAATTCTAAATACAAAGATTATGTTATCACAGTTGCTGCCGATAACAAAGACAATGATATTCAAGACTACTTACTAACTGGTCTGGATGTAAAAATCTGGAAAGTGATCCCTCGGAAGCATTACTCATAACAAAATTACGTGACAATTGCAGACTCAGTTTGATTGAGTCTGTACATAAGGGATAATGAATGAATGCAACACCCGTTACGCCCCCTAGCACCGGCTTGAGCGGTACCCAATTCTCAACACTTAATAGTGCTGACATCAATGATCCCGAAGGACCAGAAAAGTAGAAAAGTATAACAACACTGAAGTGAAGTACGGGGCAACTTTTTAAAACTGCCACACAGCATTTGACACCTGTTGTTGTGCGGTATAAAATTTGGAAACAAAGTGATCCCTCTGAAGCATTAATCACAACAAAATTACGTGAAATTGCAGACTCGGTTTGATTGAGTCTGTACATGAGGGAAAAACGATCATTATGATCTTGAGAACTTAAAAAAAGATGATCAGGATGTTTTTAAGAACGACCATAACGGTATTCATAAATCAGATTACTGATGAGGATGTCAGTAAGCTTGACAAAAACGATATAACTTGTCTGTACAGGTAGCCTTTAAGTATACCCATTTTGTATTGTATAATACGGGAATATATTTGGAAGAGTACACAGGTAGAGACACCATACACGAGAAGCAGGCAGACGGGTCAGGCATCATTTCGCAAGCTACTAACGATTCAAATATCTTTTCACTTCGTAACGATAAGTGTAAAGTAACTTTTTCATTATTTCTATATCCAAATTATACTGATATATAATTTATTTGAAATTTCAGTAAGTGGTGTAGTCTAAAGACGTTTTCCTTTCATTTGTATCCTCGGCTTTACATGGAAAAGCAACTTTGCACTCAAATATTTGATAAAGTAAAATATTCAATGTTTATCAGTAGATTTATAAAATAGTGACTTATATTTTGATCATATATAACATGAAATATGATTTCAATTTACCCGAAGTTCAAGTATTTCAATGCAAATTACTGGTCTTATATAAAAGAGACATACCGGATCTTTTCACACGATGTGATCTGAGTTGAGGTAAAAATGGTGATGGAAAAGACGATCTTTTCCGTTTTGTACGATACACATGTTTATTTATCCGATAAAATTGTAATCCATTAATCTGACCTGTGTGACCTGAAAATATACGAATAAATCTTCACAACAAAACATTATATATATGTAAAAGGTAAAATTGAAACGAGCAAAATGTTAGGGTATTAATTTTTTTTTAACATTGCTGAATTCAATAATACTGAATCTTATTGGACGATTACACAGCTCTCAAACCATATTGGACGAACGAGGCACTAGCCGTGTCTGATATAAGCTGCTGTAGCTGTGAAAGAGTCCAAAAATATCAATATTGTACTAAACAATGTATAATAAATTCTTTACTTCACATAACATTTTTTTGTCAATTTGACAGAACCTAAAGATCAATAAAGATATGATTTTTTTAGAGAGGATAACGATATGCATTTGATAAAGATATTTTGAAATATGAAAATAAAAACAAGCCTTTATAGGGTGCAATATTTATTTGGTATAGATATTTTGACCATAAAATTGCAAACGAGGGTATATGGAGTACGATATATATTTAATATGGATTTTCGCACTCTAGCTAAAAATGAAGCGGAGACGAATTGATAAGATTAAATCCAATAATGACTTCTATTTGAACATCACGTTGTTGAAATGGTGAAAGGGCATTGGTAATGTATCATAAGTTGTAAAATAAATCATATATGATTTATAAATTCTTCAGCTTGTGCATGCGGTTGTGAATCTTAAACGCTTCTTGGAACCGGCTTAAGCTTAATTTAACATTTCAACATAATATTATGGTAAAAATTTGAATTTTGAAACTTTTGCAGATGTGTTTATAAGCAGGAGATCATAAAACTTCCAATCTGTCACGTCCGTGTCATTCCACGAAAAGCTACATATGGACCCTAAGTAAAGGAATGTTTGAGCCCTTGAAAGAGGACCTGGGTCCGAGGTTATAAAGAAATTCTGTAAGCTCAAACTCAGATCTCAGGCATTTGATTGGTCAGAAACTCTCATTGAATGTACACGGACCAATGAAAATCCTGGGATTTGAGACAAGACTCAGAAAAAAAAAGTTGTATAATCTTTAGGCCATGGCTTAAGAAGTCTACATATCACGACAAGCTATAAAAGATAAAATTACATAAAAGTAATATATCGTATGGGTTATAATACAACATTCAAAAGAAGAAATTCTGGAACCATCTAATAATAAAATAGAACGAAAACAGAAACCCTAAAGAACGCCCAAAATCGGTTAACTTGAAAATATTGCAGGCTCGGTATGATTGAGTTTATTAATGTATGCTACATGAAAATGCAAGCAATCGTCTACGCCCCTAGTACCGGTTTAAACAAAATTAAACACTTAATCATGAAAATGGTTTTATTTTGAATTTAGAAACACCCGCCTGTGTGTTCATATGGCAGTAATTATGAAACCTTCAATGCCGCACGTTTGTGCCATTCCAAAAAGCGGCGTATAGTCCCCAAGCGACCTAAACGAACTAAATGGGCGGAACTAAATGCAATAGAATTTGGAAAGGGTATCAGAGGTGATGAAGTATATAGCATAAATCCATAAACGGTCGAAAAGAAAGAACTTAGAATACCATTACCACAATAATAATGTCGTAGAATTGAAAATGTTACAGACTGGGTTTGATCGAGACTGCTTAAGAAACGGTAGAGATTAATGCAAACCATCGTCCATCGAAATGCTTTAGAATATCCATAAATGTTTTATCTAAGGGCAGGTTAACGGCGAACCTAATATTTTTATCATTAATATGTTTTGATAATGTTTTAGAATTATGCAAATTATAAATGAATACTTCCGGACAATTTTCATTCTTCACATAAATTATGTTTTATAAAAACCTGTAGTGAATAGTAAGTGCGTTAATCGTGCTAAACTTTTAGCAAAAGTACTCTGTATTCTATAAAATAATGACTTTACATGCATTTTATTACCTTAAGAATTATTTATACAATGAAAATACCAAATAAAGAAAAAGAACGGGAAGCTCGATTATAAAGAAATAGAAATATTAAAAAAGCTCTCTAAATAAAGTGTATTGTCTCTTTTACAAACCAAAGTTGCTGTCATCGTTAAAAGTTCACGATTTTGTTATTGTTATAATTAAGCTACGTTTATCAATCATTTATGGACCTTTCCAGTGTTTACAATTTAATGTTAATTGGCCAACTTGTTATCCATTTGCTACACTGAGATAATACATAGTCACTGGTTGACCTGGTTTGCACAAAAGAACACATGGTCATGTATGTGAAACTGTGAGCAGTTGGCCTAGCAATGAATGGAAAAGGTATGCCTAAATGTTCCGCTACGAAAAACCGGAAAGGTCCATAGGTATGTGTTGATGTATACTCAATCGTAACAACTCGGCAATCTACGTCAAGTATTCTTGAAGTCGCCGAGGTGTTCCGATTGCATGGATATTGATTCCGTTTTCAAAATCCGTAAACCATGTTCTCTTTGTCCTTTATATGCGGTGGAAATTGTGAAATACTTATAAGATTTTATGCCCACAAAAAATAATTTATGTCATTGGTCTGTCCCTATTCTGATTACTGTACAAAATATTACGGGTCAGCTTTTAGCCATTACGGGTCAGGTTTTAGCCAAGTACGTCTTAGCCAATCAATATCAAAACTTAAATCATGTAATGTTAATTAACCAATAATTACATTAAATCTATCACAAAGAAATAATTTTGGCGAGGAATAATTCTCGCCTTTCTGTATTACTAAAATTTATCTATTTTTCAAGTCATAAGCTTTATTCAAAGTGAACTAATTACGTATTACTATGAACAGTTATCTTATTAATCTGCTGGAAGCGAATTTTAGGGACGGTGTCCCCGGTTTCATATTCAATTTCGTGACGAAAATGGCAATTCATTTCACGGCAACACGGGCAGGATATCGTAACAGAATACAATTTATTATCAAATGAACATTTCTACATTCGTTATTAAATTTCACCTGTTTGGTCATTCAACACTCGGGAATTTAGAAAGAACAATTGTAATCTGGCGGTTTTTACCTCCCAGTTTGGTTATTTCGATACAAATATGTACATGCCATGTTTGTTATTATGTTACATTTGTCATGTTTGTTATTATGTAACATTTGTCATTTATGGCATTTAATAAATGCCCTATTTCATTCAACCTAAGTGTTGTGTTTTATCTCATACCAAACAAGTTCGTCTTGCCAGTTATATTTGCTTGACCTGGACAATACATAAAATGCCAAGTAGGCGTTATGTATAAGAAATGACCGAACACTAGGTCTTTCTGTTGGTATACAGTTTCTCTGAATCTTTTAGGAATTGCCTACATGACTTTATTATTTAAAAGTTAGAAATTCGATTGTTTGTTCCTGTCAAGGATTTATATCAATCTTAACGCTAATACATTTTCATTTTAGCTAAAAAAAATCAGTTTTCTTAAATGTACATTTTCTATAAATATTTAAAAAAATGTACCTTTGATTTGATGTTTCTGTTCCATTTTACTTCCAGATACATTGGTCCAGTGAGTAATGAGAATTGTCCGAGTAGTTTTTTCAGCTGCCATGGTTTTATTTTGAGAATCACGATTTGTTGTCGTTCCACTCCCATTGATTTTCGTTGAAAGAAGATACGGAAAACCATTTTGTTTAACATGTTTTTCGCATGGGCTTTTATTTATGAAAAATCCAATAGAAAGACTGCAAGCAGCAATCGCAAATATCAAGATAAGTCCAACAACCAAAGTGAATATCAGGCTTATAAATATAGGCCTGCGATGAATTTCCCACCAGCTTTTAGAAACCGGGTTTGAAGCTGATTTTTTGCGATGCAATGAATTATATATATTTTCATTTTGTAACGCATAACAATTTTTATTTAAAACAGCAACAGTGGACATCGTTGTAAATGAAGAACGCGAATGATTATGACGGTGTTACACTGTTTTTATAAGCAGTGCGCATCAATTTAACCATGTCATTTTTCATGGAAAAGTAGAAATAAACATATCATCAGATCAGAACGAAAACATCCTTACAGTATAATGTTCTTATATTATGAATAAATTTATGAAGACAAGCAGTACGCCCGATAGGACACTTTTGTCTACGCATCAGTTAACTAAAGCTGTCTAAATTAATGACGAGACATTTGTTTTTGTCATCGTTTTTTTTCTTTTCTTTTCTTTTAATAAATACAATAGTTACAACGTTTCGGTTTGCTATAAATATGTCTATTAACAAATTATATCTTTAAAAAAATGATGCTTCACAAGCCGAGTGTTGGAAGCGAAAGAGGTCTTAGTGACATTTCTCAGGTTATTACTTTAATTATATTACATAAATGTGTTCAAAATCGGTATGCTCATATTTTGTGTAACAATCTTTATCACAACACATTAATTTTCATATATATTTTAAAAAATGCGACCCACTTAGAACCTGTTTTTTTTTCACTAAAATGTGACGGTCTAAGTGACAAAAATGGTAGTAATTTATTTTAAGCTTAAAAGTATGCTTTATGATTATTACTCTTGATAAAATTAATACTGATTATATGATGATTTCACTTTATCACTTTAATTTTTGTGTGTGTTAAGTACTATACTAGAAATGTCTACGTGAAAAAAATGTTTGCCTATTGACAAACATATTAAAAGCATAAATTGCATGTTCATAAAATCAGTGTTCATTATTTTTAGTAGATAATAACACAACATAATGTACTTTGCAACATATATGCTGTAAATTTAACCAGTCAGCCGGAGGTGTCGGAACAATTTTTGCCTAGTCCGGATGTTCCGATTGCTCCGGCTAGCCGGAATTGGGTTCCGGTGAAACCGGCTGGCCAGAGATGTTACAGTAAAGCTTATGCGCAGAACCCCATAATTATGGCGGGATGGTTAGGGAACTGACCGTGTGTCCGCTGGTATAGATGTGTCCAGAGGGAATATTTTGCCGACGTTATGTCGAAAATTGAACTGTAAATGTATTTTACAGCTCATATCTTGTCATTTCTATCTGGTCCCTGTGATCCTCAGCCTCAATTCTGCAGAGCTCCATAAGGGTGGGAGGATTAGGGTGTGTGACCGTGTATCCGCTAGTTTAACTGTGTCTGTATGAAACATTCTGTTATCTTGCCTACGTTAAATGCTAGATATTACAGTTTGTTTTCTATTTAACTTTAAAACTGTTTCGTAGTTAAACTTCATTGAGTTTATTGAAATGAAAACATATATGTTCGTAGTTTTTAAATGTTTTAAATCTCATGATAAAGACTTGACTTTAACAGACTTGGGAGATGAAGATTTAAATGTTAGAAATATACTGATATCAGCCTGAACTATGGCCAGGCTTGATCATTTAAATTTTCATTTATTTAAGAATTGGTTCTATTACATCTTAAAGCGTTTTGAATGTCAATTAGTGAATTGAATTGTGTGCTTATAAGTTCAGCTAATTTTAATGATTAAATGAAAAGCATTTATAAGTAAAATGTGAGCTGTAATGATGTGTAGCTGTATTTGTGATGCATCTAAAGCTGTGAATACTATGACAGTGATTGCTGTGGTATTAATGGTATTTTAATAATAGTAATGATAGCTGTTAATAACTGTAGCAATCATAGTAATAGAAGTAGTAGTAATGGTGATATTCGTGGTGAAGTGATAGCTGTTGAAACTGTTACAATAATAGGTAGTCTTAGTAGTCACTTCCACTGCTATTGTATCTTCATTAAAATACAGTGATTGTAGAGTTAGACATATGAAAATGTTAGCTGTTAACACTGTAGCAGTGACATTGATTTCAGAGTTAGACAAACAAGTTGAAATACATGCTATAAATGCAACAGAAGTGAAAGTGATTGTAGACTAGTGGTTATCTTAACTGCTAGTATTGTAGCAGTGATAGTCATTGTCAAGTTAGATACTGCGTAAATATGTAGAAACATAAATTAATCTGGTAATAGTTTAGACTTTAACATTATTTACTATTACAATGATTAATGTATCAATGATATGCTAACTAAAGCCGCGCGAATATATAACATTTTATGTACCATATCTTATTTGCATGCCATGTAGTATAAAGTTGTAGTGTTTGGTCGGATTTTTGCGACGGACGCGCCCTCAGGCGCGTTCAGAGCTAAGTCATCTACACATGGGATTTCGTTGGCTACACTCGCGCAATGTGTCCTAAACCAATTAACAGCCCAAGAAATAGTACATGAATTTGATCCTTCAAAACTCCCATACTTTGTCTGGATATCTTAATGTCTTCCATATTTAGCCTTTTCAATTTCAAATTAAGTTATCCAAGTTAAAATATGAACGTATATTATTGATAAAAACGTTGTAGTCCCGTAGTATTATTGCGCAATATGCAAATTACTGCTGAAACGATTTACCGCTGTCGAAAAAGTAGGACAGCAAATTATACTACAATAAAGGTGTAACCTCATAGTTCCAAGACATTATTAGTAGGAAATAAATAATTCTACATTATACAAAACATTATTATTAACAAATCAAAAGTTTTTCGTGACTCTAGGATAACTCGCGCATTAATAAAAGAAGAACTATTTTCGTGACTCATATCGCGGGTTTGAATAGCTGAATATTCAGCAGTTATTAATATATTAGATACAGTACAATGGCTAGTATAAATATCTATTTTTGAAAATGCATGTAAGACACTTTACCGCCATGTAGTCTTTCATGGTAAGGAAGTTATAATATCAGTTCTACTTCCGATTCTTGTGGTTTGTTTACATATTTTACTAGGTCATGATATGAGTTAACCTTCGCTATTCTAAAAATAGATTCTGCTTCAACTGTTCTGATTTTTGGACAGGCGATTAGGAAGTACACATTAAACATGTAATTAATAAACCAGCGGATTGTAATGCAATACTTTTTAGAAATGCTATCAATTGTAAGAAGCAGTCAAGTTGAAAATGGAATTTAGTGTGAAGTTGAAAAGGACAACTAAACACTGTAGTGCTTAAGTGACATTTAAATTAAAATAAAAACGATGTGCTCTGGCCTCTACATCTTTACCTTGTAAATAAAAAAAATCTAAGAAATACACTATTAATTGCTGATGATTTTAACCAATTTTTTTTTAATGAGACATATCCAAGAGAAATAAAAATACAAATGACTTATATTTTATTGTCTGTATGCCCACTATGATATAACACGAAGTAATTCTAAATAGCATTCTCAAATGTATAATGTATTATGTTTGAAGTTTATTTGCCTGGATTTATTCTAGAAATATTTCGTTGACAGTTTTTTTTTCTATTTACATATCATTTCTTAGAATAAATCGATAAGGACACTGATTTACAAGTTTGACCAGAGTTTTTAGGCATAAATTTCATTCTGTATTTAAGTGCTTGAAAGTAGAAAATCTGAATTATATCAATTTGGGACACAAAATATATTGCTCTACAAATCTCGAACTTGTATGGAACAAATTTTCTCTGTTATATATTTTGTGTTTTGTTTTTGTTTTTTTTTGTTTTTTTCTAAAAGAAGCCTTAATGTCTCTCCGGTTGCATGTCCGTCGCATTCAGTGCTGCAGCACTTTGATTCTCTTTGTGTTCCATATTTAATCAATGACAAGTATATGGCACGAAAGGGTCTTTCATATTTCTTAATGATCTGGTTTAACCAACAAGGCATGGTAAGTATACTGATTCAGTTTTTTATTTGTTTGGGTCGTCAGACCAAACAAATCATGGTAGCGAAATTTTAGACCCTGATGTTCTTATTTGTAAATACCGCAAGTATTCCAAACTTCTCGAAGTGGTTACTTCCCTTCATATGTACATTACTGCGTACAGATTGTCAATTGGCAGGCGCATTAACTTTCGTAACAAAAAAAATAGTTCCCGATTGGTCGAAGATTTCTAATATTGTGTTATTCTTGTAGATATACATGTTTATATTCAGCTTCATGGTTATTTACTTCAGTGTTAAACAATAGGTTTACTGTGAACAAAATATATCGATATTAATAAGGGTTACAAACTCTAATTAAGAATAATATGGTATTTTCCAGGCCGATATCTTTTAACTCCCCGTGGTCGATGGTTTTACACGCTCCCTTTAGAAGCGAGAGGTCCGAAGTTCAAATCCCAGTTCAGGCAACTCAAGGTGTTTTGGGTTTGTTGTTATTGTTGTTTTTTTTGTTGTTGTTTTGTTTTGTTTTTAATTGTTTAAGCCAAATAAACATTGAATTAAATATCAGTGTTGCAATAAGTCTTATAGCCAATTTACTATAGTTTTAACACTGGAAACAAAATATGGTGACACTATACAAATAATTCGGTTTATAATTTCACAATCTTCACCTTTCTGACATTCTGAGACCCAAACAAATTCAGCGCTTTCTGTGCTTTGATTTTACTATCGCATTCAGTTGCCCGTTGAACAGCCAGTCGTTATTTTAGGGGAAATGGCTGAAACAGGAGATGCCCCGTTCTGGAGGCGACTCTGGTTCTTTTCGATGTCCAGGATGTTACACCGGTACATGGTACTTCGTTTTTTAGGTCTCTCCCAAAATAGTATGTTAAGTAAGTGGATTGGAGGGCAAGGAGAAGAACCTTCGATTCTTTTATGACTAGTCTCGAAAGTAACCAGTGAATCGATTGTACTGATTGCCGTATTGATAACATGTGAGATAACATATAATATGCATAAAAAAAAAAAATTCATTGATTTCAGTGATTAATATCTTTATTTTTTAACATTCTCTCCTTAATAGAATACATACAACAAATGTATTATGAGAATATGATCAATAAAGGTACATTTTTAAGCATTGTATACAAGTATAAAGTCACATTTTATATACAAATAACGTCAACGTATAAAATTAATCTAACATTGCACAAGAAACTTGAACGCAATACTCAATCTCATATGTAAATTGAACATGAAAGTCGTAAACACACAAATTAAATTTCAAAATGTTATATCCAAATCCTGAAACAAGCCAACGAATTTCCAAACAAGTACATGTATTGATGGTAACAGAATCGTGATCTGTATATAATCATGACAGTCTTTTCAACATTTTATAAAAGGTTCTTTGTGTTGACAAACAACAAAAAGAGTTGAATACGTTTATAAACACTATGCACTAAAGTCTATTTCAAGCAGCTATGAATGGTAAGATATAAATGTGTTGCTGTTTACACCACTACGAGCTTAAACAACGACCTGTTGTCTGCTTTATCGTATCTTGATGATACGTATTTGTCCGAGTCCAGACGAACGTACCGATTTGTAGCTTTTGTTTTAATTCTGTAGAAGCCTTGTGTTTCCATGGTTACATAGTATCGCATATGATCGTCATCAGTTTGATCGTCACCATTCAGATATATCCCACGTGCACCAGGAACACCATACCCATCGTACATGTATCGTGGCATGGCAACGGACTAAAATAAAGGTAAAATGGAAATTATACATAAGTAAAGAATATTCTAGAAAAGGATATTTTAAATTTAAAAACGTCATTCACACTGCCGGTCAGTCGTCCACACTTCCGTACCAAGTTTGATTAACAGAAAACTATAACTTGGACTGTTTACAAAGTTTTTATCAAGAACAATTCAACGATATTTGATCGCAAAACGAGCATACGACTTATGGACGAGCTTTCAATGTTCTTTTTTTTTGTTTAGAATGTTTATACCGATTTGATCAACTCGATCATTCAGACTATTACATGGCCATACGTACATACATCACATGGACACGAGCATTCCTAGCATCTCTACGATTTCAACCCCATAATAAATCCGATATCTTTTAGATCAATATCCATAAATATGAAATATACACTGATAAAAGTTTGGTCACTTTGATATCAGTTAAAGATATTACTTCCACCATTACGAACGCCAATAGCCAGAAATTTTTAATAGTGTTATAGTCCCTAAATTAAAAAAAAAAATCAAGCGTCTCACCTTTATTTTATATGATCCATCCGTCTGTTTCTCAAAAGTAAACTTAACAAAATCATCATTCGGTTGCCATAAGGACGATACTACCTTCAGAACCTGATGTCCTCCGTCAAAATGCCAAAATTGATTGTTTTCTTTTGCGTGAATCTTAAATACCTTTCCTTCAAGATTTACTGAAATAGAGTCAAATAGCTTCATATAAGTAACGCCGAATATTACTTATCTAGTTGTATTAATGTTTGACGTGTTCGTGTGTAACATAATTGTTTATTGATTATCATTACTATTATTATGGTCGGTGTTTCTCATTATTATTCTTCCTCTGCTTATTTTAATATGCAAATGAATGTTTGTAACAACTTTACACTTAGCCATTATTAGAATTATCATTATCGAAAGATTTCAAAGTATCACTAGCTTATCTTCTATATATTTGCAATTTTTTATATATGTTTAATTTCAGAGAATACAATAACTACATTTAAGAAGTACCATAAGTCAGAAAAGAAAGTATTGCCAGCTTACTGGAACAGTCTACCAAATAAAATGTGCACCACCGACAGGTACAAATACTTTGTTAGACTGGTCCGCGCTTTTACTGGCCCTAAACATGAATGTGCTTATAATCTCTTTTTTTTCTTCGCCTTAACTTAAACACTTGAATTTGTATTTCATAGGCAAAGGTCCGGGCACTAATTATGATTATTCTGTAGTCGGTGCACTCTGATTGTTCAGTGTCGGTCGAAGCCTAAACTTTGGAATCCGAGAGACCTTGCATATGGTTAGAGTTTCACTATTGAACATTTGTGACCTCACTTTGATATAACCATTTTCGAAGTGACTACTGCATGTGACCATAGTAAGCGACCAAACTTCGTCGTCTTCAAAACAAGAATTTAATTAAAATCCAACTGAACTTCACAATCCTTTTTTGGCTAGGGAGATTCTACGTTCTAAAACGGGCTTCGTAAAATTCTAATTATGCGTTAAAAATTCATAACCAGGAGTTAATAAGTTCTAATATATCTTGTCACAAGTATTGATAAAAGTTGATATAAACAATTTTTTAAGTTTCTCATCAGTTAAATACCTCTTTGCATCTCTACGAGTTTAAACAACGATCTGTCGTCTGCAATGTTGTATCTTGATGATACGTATTTGTCCGAATCCAGTCGAACGTAACGATTCGTTGCTTTTGTTTTAATTCTGTAGTAGCCATTTGTTTCCATGGTAACAGAGTATCGCATATGATCGTCATCTGTTTGGTCATCACCATTAAGATATACTCCACGTGCACCATGAACACCATACCCATCATACATGTATCGTGGCATAGCAAACGACTTAAAATGTGAAATGGAAATAAAACAAAGGATTATTTTTTCAAACGGTATTCGCGCTTGCCTTTTCGATCAACTCCATCCACCAATCGCAAATAATTATAGCCAAGTATGGCCAACTTAAATTTATAACTACAACTGAACCCGACATTTACAACTCAATGATACGAGCATAAATGTTCAATGAACGAGCTTCTGCAACTTCTCAACGATTCAAACGTGCCAACCACTTATATCAATGATTATTCTAGCCATTTAACGATTGTTATATGATATTACATAAAATACACACCAACATTTACGACTTCCATCACTAAATAAAGCATTTCAGTAAGATTAATCTTTACCCGATCGTTTAATTCCGTACACGACACCTGAACAAATTTGATTCAGGGTCAAAGTTATCTGATATTGATAAGTGTGTTTTAATACAAAATGTAATGCTTATAATTATCATATTGTGATTTCTTGACAAAACAATCTAATCACTACTTAAAGTTTTGGCTTCTAGTTCCGAGTTTATGTATAAATCAACATTTCAAATTTATCTATGTGTTCGATGGGGATTGAGCAAGACTTGTATACGTAGCCATTGGTCATGTCGCCGGTACGAAAAACACAAAATACATGTAAATGTATTTCCAAAAAGAATTCAAATATATTAAATCTTTCTATACAATTGAGCATAATCTTCGGTATCACATAACGACAATGCTTCAGACATAACGCTACAAACTAGGACTAACAGCCGTCTATATGGTAAAAAAATATGAATTATTAGGTTTATATATCTATAATAATTTATAAAGTGATTTTTTTTTCATTTTATTTTTATTTATATATCCTTGTACTAATTTATTTATAATTTTACCAATTTTTGTTTCGCCTCACCTTTATTTTATATGATCCGTCCGTCTGTTTCTCAAAAGTAAACTTAACAAAATCATCATTCGGTTGCCATAAGGACGATACAACCTTCAGAACCTGATGGCCTCCGTCAAAATGCCAAAATTGATTGGTTTCCTTTGCATGTATCTGGAACACTTTTCCTTCAAGGTTCACTGAAAGTGAAGTAAACAAGAAATTCGACGGATGCCTTTCAAAATTGCACATTAGTCAATGCATTTCAGTGCACTATGGTCAATAAATATAGGCAGTAATTGCATGAGTGCCAAATCCATTTTAGTAGCAATGGCCTTGACAAATTGCTCTTACTATGGTTTCTACCTACAAAAAAATTGAAGAAGATAAAACATAAGTCCATATAAAGACTGAATGAAAAAGTGTATGAATCGTTGGAATTATTTTCACTTAGTGTAACGTTAATCTTGACTCAAATGATTTCACCTCCCAAACATAGAGGATCATCAAAGAATATGAAAGACATATTCACTAATTATGATTATTCTGTAGTCGGTGCACTCTCATTGTTCAGTGTCAGTCGAAGCCTAAACTTTGGAATCCGAGAGACCTTGCATATGTTTAGAGTTTGACTGTTGAACATTGGTAACCTCAATATGCTATAACCATTTTTGCGTTTTCTAGTCTTCTGCATGTGACCATAGTAAGCGACCAAACCTCGCCGTATTCAAAAGAAGAATTCTATAATCTTCTTATAACGAGGTTATAAATTCCCACTGAACCTCTCAATCCCTTTTTTTTGGCTCGGGAGATTCTACGTCCTAAAACGGGCTTTATAAAGTTCTAATTAGGCGTTTAAACTACTAACCCGGAGTTACTAAGTTCTAATATATCTTGTCACAAGTATTGATAAAAACGCATATAAACTAATTCTAAGTTCATCATCAGTTAAATACCTCTTTGCATCTCTACGAGTTTAAACAACGATCTGTCGTCTGCCATATTGAACCTTGATGATACGTATTTGTCCGAATCCAGTCGAACGTAACGATTCGTTGCTTTTGTTTTAATTCTGTAGTAGCCATTTGTTTCCATGGTAACAGAGTATCGCATATGATCGTCATCTGTTTGGTCATCACCATTGAGATATACCCCACGTGCACCATGAACACCATACCCATCATACATGTATCGTGGCATAGCAAACGACTTAAAATGTGAAATGGAAATAAAACATAGGATTTTTTTTCAAAAGGTATTCGCACTTGCCTTTTCAATCAACTCCATCCACCAATCGCAAATAATTATAGCCAAGTATGGCCAACTTAAATTTATAACTACAACTGAACCCGACATTTGACAACTACAACTCAATGCTTCGAGCATAAATGATCAATGGACGAGCTTCTGAAACTACTCAACGATTCAAACGTGCCAACCAGTTATATAAAACGATTATTCTATGTTATATGATATTACATAAAATACACACCAACATTTACGACTTCTATCACTTATTTAAGCACTTCAGTAAGACTAATCTTTACCGGATCGTTTAATTCCGTACACGGACCGTATACGACACCTGTACAATATTTACTAGACAAATTTGATTAAGGGTCAAAGTTACCTGATATTGATCAGTGTGTTTTAATAATGCTTATAAGTTTTATGAATTATTAGGTTTATATTAATAATAATGTATATAGTGATTTATTCTATTTTATTTTTATTTATTTATATATCCTTGTACTTATTTATTTATCATTTTACCACTTTTGTTTCGCCTCACCTTTATTTTATATGATCCGTCCGTTTGTTTCTCAAAAGTAAACTTAACAAAATCATCATTCGGTTGCCATAAGGACGATACTACCTTCAGAACCTGATGGCCTCCGTCAAAATGCCAAAATTGATTGTTTTTCTTTGAGTGTATCTGGAACACTTTTCCTTCAAGGTTCACTGAAAGTGAAGTAAACAAGAACGGATGCTTTTTAAAAATTGCACATTTGGCAATGCATTTCAGTGCACTATGGTCAATAAATAAAGGCAGTAATTGCATGAATGCAAAACATTTTTTTAGTAGCAATGACCTTGACAAATTACTCCTACTACGGTATCTACCTACCAAAAATTGAAAAAGGAAAAAAAATAAGTCCATATAAAGACTGTATGCAAAAGTGTATAAATCGTTGGAATTATTTTCACTGCTTGTAACGTTTAACGTTCTTGACTCACATGATTTCACCACCTAAACTTAGAGGACCACAAAAGAATAAGAAAGACATCAGTAAAAAAAAATAACAAAAAACAGGCTGAATATGCGGACGTGTCACCTTACTCTGAACTGGTTTAAGGTACCTTCCTATTGCATTTGAAAATCTGGTAAACAGGTGATCCCTCGGAATAAAAAAAAAATATTCTATGAAAAAAATATTGAAAATTGCAAACTCGGATTGATTAAGTCTGTTTGTGACAGATAATGAAAAATCACACGTCCCCTTGTGGTATTCAATATTCATTACACTAACGTGCTAGAAGCAATAATCATGAAGGACGAGACAAAAAACTTAGTTCATTAAACAGGTTTATATGAAACAGTTTAACCCATATTTAAAGCACTAGTGGCATTGACATTGTCTTTGACTTTGATGACTCTTTACTGTAGTAAAAATGTGAGGGCCGCTACTAATACCTATACGTATTAAAATCAATGGCTGGGAAAGCGTTAAAATCCTTCTTAGCACCAGTACCTAAAGTACGTTTGAGCTTAACGACAGCAGTTAATAAATAAAGGATGTTTAAGAAAAGACAAACATTTATCAACAATTATTTTAAAGGAATAATAATGTAATGGATGAACATTAGAAATTGTTTTAAGGGGGCAGGGGACATATTCGAATGATGGCCCCGGTCAATTTTTTTAATAACTCGGACATGGTGTTTTGAAGGTACTGATAACTTCTGATATGTCTCTGTCATTGTAATTCTTTCTTGTTTGTGTGTAGGAAATGAGAGGTATTTTTGGGTTTTTCCCCGAAACTAAGCATTTTGGTAGCTTTGTATGTATTTCTGACTCTCCGAATGGAGGTGAAAAAGTTAAAAATCAAGCTTTGACAGTTGGCGCCAAATAAGTAAGAAATTTCAGATAAATTTTGTGAAAATCTAAACGTATGACAGACACTTTATTTGTCATTTCTGAAAATGCCATAGCTTGCACTGCGTGTTACTGATATTTTTAAAGGAATCGGGCGGATTCTGGAGTATGCTGCACCTTCATGAATATTGCCCATATTGGTATATTTTAGGTGTGGTTTTGGCTGGGTGGGGGTAAATATAAATTGCTATCAGCCATTTTTTGAAGGAGCAATGTATGCAAACTATTATTTTCTTCAATGTATGTCATATATCATTGAATAATGCTGTGCAACTGGTTATCTGCCTGTGAAACAGATTTTGAAATATTTGGAATTGTGTTTCTGGTAACACTGAAATACAAAATTTTTCATTTTTAGGTCCCCTGCCCCCTTAACATCATGATCATGATTTGGAATTGCAAATTTTTAGTCGGGATTATTTCTATTAAGACATTTATCAATTATTGATCCATACACATCAATAAATCAGACGTATGTCCATGACACTTATGACTATGAACGCTTCATTTGTATTGTCTTTTAGAATATATACAGTGTGTACGGACCCCTGAAATTTCATCAGTCATACATTTCAAGAAAACATTTTTTAAGGAAATATAAATTATAAATTTGAGACGGTTATCGGTTAAACATTTACCTGTTTGTACCTCTACGAGTTTAAACAATGACCTGTCGTCTGCAATATTGAACCTTGATGACACGTACTTGTCGTGGTCCAGTCTAACGTACCGATTAGTTGCCTTTGTTTTTATCCTGTAGTACCCATTTGTTTCCATGGTAACAGAGTATCGCATATGATCGTCATCTGTTTGGTCATCACCATTTAGATATACCCCACGTGCACCATGAACACCATACCCATCGTACATGTATCGTGGCATAGCAAACGACTTAAAATGTGAAATGGAAATAATATATAAACATGGTGTGTTATTTGTGATGTCATTGCCTATCAAGTCATGTGCTTCAATCTTTCTTACATGTATTTCATACTCCGGTAGACCAATGAAGCCAAACAAGTGCATTCTATGCGAACTTTATATCCTTTACTCACAATTTGTGTTTAATATATCATACAAGATTATTACCATATGACGCTACAAACCCCAGCTTGTAATCACTTTTATATTAAAGAATAAAATAGATTCATAAAATCTATGAACCGTTTAGAACCTCACCTTTATTTTGTATGATCCGTCCGTCTGTTTCTCAAAAGTAAACTTAACAAAATCATCATTTGGTTGCCATAGGGACGACACAACCTTCAAAACCTGATGACCTCCGTCAAAATGCCAAAATTGATTGTTTTGCTTTGCGTGTATTTGGAACACCCTTCCTTCAAGATTTACTGAATGTAGAGTTATAAAAGATACTTAAAGATTATTCTTACAGTTACCATCGTTGTAGTAATAATTATACATGTTCATCACCATTATATATCATCATCGTCATTGTTGTTATAGTCCTAAATTTAAAGCCCTGCCTGTTTTTTTCCAGAGTATTACAGGCGTGAAACCATACAAACGTTTACAATCTTATTGTTTTTATCGTTAATGATTTTACCATGACAAAGGACTTATTCTTCAACATAAAATATACAAAATGCTTTTCAGACGATAACTGTACTTGAGTTATATTTTGAAAATTTCACATGGAATATTACTTCATATAGTCGAACGATTCTAATGGAAACGAAAAGCTATTTTTAATAGAGTTTTGGCCTTATGTAGTAGTGACATACCGGATCTTTTCATACGATGTGATCTGAATGAAGATGAAAACGGTGATAGGATAGACCTTTTGTCTAGAAACAATCCTGAAAATATACAAAAGTCTTAATTACAAAACATGACAGGTATCAAAAGAAGTATAATCAGATTTTGTAAAATATTTTGACAAGCTAGACTACAAATTTTATTCTACGGAAAAAAAACGTGTTTAAATTCATTAAAGCCATCCTGTGTATGTACAACGCAGTTAAAAGCGGCAGTATGATTATGATAAATGCGTTTAACCTAGTCTTGTGATCCAATGATAGAGACTCGATCCCGCCTCCACCGCGAACAATGTTAACGATCTTTGTAACAATTGTGATAGAGGTCTCATATATAAAGGTGCTAGGACCAGGCTTGCCTCTAGGCTGAGCAGGTTCCATTTATGCTATCCCACTCAGTCAAACTTTATTTAGGTCTTTTACTCTTAAAAACAATGATATCAGAGCCAAATTCGTTGAAATTAATATAAACTTACAATTACTTAAAATTATTACACTAGAATTAAAAAGTCATTTGAACAGTTTTTCTGACATAAAAGCAAAACATAGCCAGTTGTCTCTTTTGTAATCAAAATCATTAAAAAGATGTTATTTGTTAATTGTTGGGGGATTTTTTTTTACATGTACATGTAGCTGTAAACGAAATTCAACATATCGATAACATATTTTACAAATTTTCAAATTAAAAATATCATCGATTTTATCCGTGATAAAACGTTACAAATAAGCATACCATTCGCATTATTTTAGAATTATAACTATTATAACTATAGTGAGCACCAATTTAATGCTATAAATCAAACATCTCGCCTTTCGTTGATAAAGATACCATACAGGATGTTTTTGAAGAATAACTTTTTACAACTTCTGTAGAAGATACAGTTGTAGTTTAGTAGTAGCAATTTATTCTTTTATTACATAAGGTATTACGCCCATGGATGCATTACAGTCATGGTACAACTAATAACAGAGCTTGGTACATTTTATTTAACAATTATTATATGTTTTAGTATACCTCGCGTACACGTTTTACTATACAGCCTAATGTGACTTCGCGTGGTGTTATTTGGATCTATCATGTCATTTTTTATTTAATTTGCAATATTGCGCAGGGGCAATTAAATTAACCTATATATAACTTAAGTAAACGTTATGTTCTAGTTCTCTCCCATGATAATGACATAAAAAAAATACATTAAGTATAATAAAAAAAATAACATATGTCCCTCCTGGAATTATTTTTGTCCAATAGGATTTCAAATTAATCGTAACACATTTACTTTGGTAAATAGGCAAACTGTAATCAGTCTAGTAATTCGACTGTTTATAAAAACATTTTAAAACACTAAGCTGGTTAAAATTTATGTACGCTGCGCCGCGCCTGACCAATTTAATTTTGTAATTACGTACTTATAAACTTTAACCTATACATATTGCAAATAAGCAACCATTGAACTGAAATAACATTTTATGTAATAACACATGGCTTTACTTCTGCGTTTATTTTGATCAGTATTATCACCTTCATACCCTGCAAGCATGCTGTTTTTTGGTGTCATGAACTTGACGTCAAGATTATTATAATTATTTTGTAGTCACAAAGAATATAAAGATGTGTTATGATAAATGCACAGACACATGCACAAAGCACCTGTGATTGATCGGTGAAGTACTTAATGTCGTCATGTTGGATATCACTTTCTGCCGAGTCGTATTGAGCATGAAATTCATGCCTAAAACAATCAAAGTGTATTTTAAAGCAGCACGCCTCCAGATTCATGCTAATTTTCATGAAAATTTGAAATGTACTTAAAAGTATAATATTGTAAAGGTTTCCAAAATAATGCAATTTAGACATTATCAATGGCACTTACAATCCATGTTAGTTACCAAAAAGAGGTCAAAATGTACAAAAATAGCCCTTACTGCGTTAGTAACGCAGTAAATATATAGTTATAAATGCTAAAAAATAGGTCAATAATCACACATAACATTCAAACTATTTCTAGAATTTTGAATCTTTTTACTTTTTGTAAAATCTTAATAAGTTTTTCTCAGGTTTAATTTTATTGAAATATTTTTGCTCATCTGGAGGCGTGCAGCTTTAAAACTGACATAAAATTGTGTTCTAAAATCAGCATTCTTATCCGACCCAGTATCCTTACAATATGGTTAATGCTTACTAATCATTTTCATGATATCGATATTTTTAAATAAATGATTTTTTTTAGCAATTGAAATAAAATGTACATGTACCTTTGATGGGCGGTGCAGGTGTATTATTAGATACATTGGTCCGGGTGGTAGTTTCATTTGTTCGAGTAGTCATTTCAGTTGCCATGGTTTTCTTCTGATGTTCAACGGCTGTCGAAGTTTCTTTCCCATTGTCTTTTGCGGAAACAATATTTGGAAATCGTGGTAACTGGGTACCAGACGGTCCGGTTAAATGCTGTCTTGTACTTTTGTCGCATGCGGATTTATTTATGAAATATCCAATCGAAAAACTGCACGCAACAATCACAAGTACTAAGGTAAGTGCAGCAACCAGAGCGAATTTGGAGCTTTTGAATATAGGTCTGCGATGAACTTCCCACCAGCTTATAGGAACCGGTTTTAAAGCTGATTTGTTACGATACATCGTATTATAGATATGTTCAGATTCCCCCACATAACAATCTTTACTTAAAACAGTATCATTAGACATCGTGCTAAATGAGAAACGCTAATGATTACGACGGTTGTAAGCTGTGTTTATAAGCAGTGCGCATCCATTCAACCATATCCTATTTCATAGAAAGGTAAATATTATCAGAAAAAGAGTAACGTCCTTTAAAGTAATTCAAATTTGCATATGAATTAACGAGGACAAATTTCTCGTTAAAGTGAGGGAAACATTTTTACTATGTGTCAGTTAACTGTCTGATGACGGCACTTTTGTTTTTAATGCTATAGTAAAAATCAGAGTACTAAGTTCAGATGGGATGTCTGTCCGTCACTTAATATTGTTTTTTATTGTTGTTGTTGTTTGTTTATATTTTCTGGTTTGTTTTTTGTTTTTGTCTTTTTTTGTTATCGTTTTTTTTTTAATTGTTGTTGTTGTTTTCAGTTTGCACTGCTTTCCACTGAACGTAAATGTGGTGAAATATTAGGAATTTAGAACTGATCATTACAATGATCGATGTTATAAGTTCATTTAAAAAAAATTGACTGTATGTGTTTAAAAGAGACCCTAAAATTAACCCACAGTATTTATTTTGTATGGTGGCTGATTTGTGCCATTTGTGTTTTCGTCCCGCAACCCCGCCAAGCGAAAAGTCGAGAATTAACAAGTTAAAATGGCGGGGTCGCGGAGCGAAAACACGCTAATTAGCGGGGCGCGCGGCGAAGTTTAACAAATAAATCTTCGCCTCAGCGAGAATTAAGAACTAAAACGGCGAGGGCGCGGGGCGAAGTTTAATGAAATAAAACTTCGCCCCGCGACCCCGCTAATTAGCGTGTTTTCGTCACGAGACCCCGCCAAGCGAAAAGTCGAGAATTAACAAGTTAAAATGGCGGGGGCGCGGGGCGAAAACACGAATGGCATAAATCAGCCACCATAATTTTTGTCACTTTGAAAAACGGACATGCAAACTTCGTAGACAAAATAGTAGATTCTATGACCTAATGATGACACAATTTATATATGATTAGATTTTCAATAAACATTTATGAAATACTATGCTTTAACGTTATGTTTATTTTCATGAAATACTAAATATACTGTACTATATGAGCCGCGTCATGACAAACTAAAATAATTTGTTTGCGACTAGCATGGATCCAGACCAGCCTGCGCATCCTCGCATTCTGATCAGAATACATGCTGTTCGCTATGTGTGTGTAGTTAATGCTTAATGAGGGTTCATCCGTCCTTTCGGGCACAAAATGCAGCTTTCGCTGTCGAGTACGGTCACCAGTCATGCTATTAAAGAGTTAATGTTGAAGTGAAAAGTGGTGATAGTTTACCTCCATGCAATTTCCATGGAGTATTAGCCAAAGATATGAATTTTGAGCCAGAAGTAGGTTACTGTACGGCGGTCAATGAGAACTTAAGTGTACAGTAACCTGTGACAATATGAAAGGTTAGCCCTGAAAATGGCTGTTGGTGCTAGCAAAAGGCCTACCTTACAAGCCGTCTATCTGTACTAGGGGCTCACGCACCCTAGCACACCATCCTCCTCGTCTCAGCCTACTTTGTGGGGCCACTCCCCTCGGTATAAGTCAGGACACCGGCAGCTGGTCCGCAGTTGTTGACGAAGTAGCGATCCCGTTGTTACAGCCTACGGGGGGCTCCTATTGAGTTGAGTTGTGTTTGCTACCAGCCAAGCTGTAAATCTTCTGTCGATGCCCTGTGCCTTCTCAGCGACGTGCACGCTCCGAGGGAAAGTTTCTCTACTTGTTATATAGTTGTAAGCCCTGATAAGACTGCGCAAACCCATTATGTTTGTTTTGTCATGGTGCGGATCATATACATGTATCACGGGGGAGGAAGTGTTACACGAAGGATGGAGTTCTTATGATAACTTGTTCAGGTGTTGTGTTGTCTTTAATAATATAACTGGCACGAATTGTTTTAATTTGATTAATAAGTGTAATAAAGATGGCATAAAAGCTGCATGCCTCCAGATGAGCTAAAATATTTCAAGAAAATTAAAGTTGAGAAGATTTTTAGAAAAAAATATAAAGATTTAAGAAATAATTTACATGTTATGTGCGACTAAGGGCTGATTTTGCAGTATTTATCACCTTATTTCTACTGCGTCACTATCGCATGAAAGATTATTTTTGCTTATTTTGATCTCTTTTTGTTAATTTACGTGGATTGCAAGTACTGTTTGCAATGTTTAAATAAATAACCTATAACCTTCTTTGTTCACTTTATAATATTAACTTTTAAAAACATTTTTTAAAATTTTCATGAAAATTAACATGAATCTGGAGGCAAGTCAACACAATATAAATTTAAAGAAACAAAACAAAACAAACCCCCCACCCCCCCCCACCCCCCAAAAAAAGAAAAAAAAGAAAGAAATTTAAATACGTATGTGGAAAGTACAAGCCTAAAATAGACTAAGATGTAGAATGTTACTTATAATGTCACTTTGAGACTAATAATATTAGGTTTCCGGCAGGTTGCCTTGGTAACGACTACACGGACAATAAAACACAAGCACCAACAGCAGTGTCAGTTAGTGTCCATCTTAAAAGAATGTTTCACGAATCAAGAAGAAGCTCATAAATCTGTAATGTGTTTTAAATTCATAACTTTTATGTTTGATACGATTAAACCATAATATTCATAAAAATAAACATGGAGTTAAAATTTTCTGTAGTTTAATTTCAACAAAAAATGTCTAGAGCTGTGTAACTTCGACTAAAGAGGACAGAACATTGTTTTCAAACCTTTAACCATGTAGAAACTTAGATACCGGATTTAAAGGAAAATAAAGTATCATTTTACTCGCAATGTAGTGACAAGTAAAAAAAACATGTATCAAGGTGAATAGTGAGAAAAGCGTGTTTACGTTAAAAACTTTCAAGCGTTTCTTAGAATATGGCGTTTAAAAAGAAAGGGGAAAAAACACGAATGTGAATCATATGTTTTTAAATAAATTTTAGTAGTTCTAAACAGGTGTAGATGAATAAATTAAAAATAAAAATTCTATTTCAATGCAACTTTACCATCTGTAAATTGCATATTAAAAATGTTTTTATTATTAGGAAAAAAAACCTTTATATCTGAAAATCAAAGAGATGGTTATTTTTAGTGAAATTGTTATTGGATAATGCTTTAGTGTAAAGCTATATTTTCACTTAAAGTCAGGGGCACGATTAACTTATACAGTAAAAAGTAAATTATTCAAGAAAGATAAAAAGAAAAAAGAAGAAAAAACACGTGGGATTAACAAAGTTTTGTTGTTTATTTTGTTGCTTTTTCCCAACGCAGTTCCTTTGCAATTTTGTCGGGAGTTTATTTCATTTATAGGTTAAAGTTTATTTTTATTTTTATACGTACTTATAAATTTCAAACAGCTTTAAATTTGTGTTTTAAAATATTTTTATATTCAGTCGATGAACTAGACTGAATAACAGTTTGCCGATTTACCAAAGTAAATTAATTTAAAATACTGCAATCCTATTGGGCAAAATATACTTTTAAACACTAAATGCACATTACATCTTAATATTAACATTTTATGCTTAATAAACTAATAAATCTGTTTTTACACTGACACTGAGTTATACAAGCATAATTATTTACAAATGTGACATCCTATAATGTAACGTGGACCGGAACATTATAATTATATTGCTGCATATATATTACTCCGTATTTCATTAATAGGGGGAAAAATTCGCAATAAACTTTTCTTCCATGACGTCACATCATAAAGTAATTAGTTCCGGACCGATAACAGTAGGTAAACAAGAATTTACTTTAAAATTGTATTCATCGATTTTAGCTCGACTATTCGGTAAGAATAAGTGAGAGCTATTGTAGTCACTCAAGCGTCGGCGTCGGCGTAACCACTTTTTTATAAAGCATTAACTACACACACATAGCGAACCACGGTTTTGTAATTCCTCAATTATTTTCAAAGTCCATTGACATATAACTTTGAAACTTTGCATTTGTTCCCATCATACCCCAACTGTAGAAGGAGAGGTAACTTATCAAGATTTTGACAGAAGATCCCCTTTTCGATTAGCTTTACTTAAAGTTTTTTAATACTCAAATTTTTTTTAAAAATCATTGATATTGGCTTTTGAAATTTTGCACACTTGTTACAATTATGCCCCCCAACCTTAGAAGAAGGGTATTTTAAAAAAAAAAATCAAGTTTTTTGACAGAATTATGCCCCTTTTTCGAAAATACGTTTAGGTTTTTTTTTAACATTCAAATATTTCAAAAATCCATTGGGGCATATGGCTTTTAAATTAGCATTTCTTGTTCATCATCAGCATGCTTTAACTGTAGACAGGAGGAGGAAATCTATGAAAATTTTTTACAGAATAAAAGCTCTTTTTCAACTTTTTGATTTTGTTAAAATTTGCATACCACATCAGATTTTTTCCTATTTTATTACTCCGACATTAAAATGTTGAAAATTTTACCGTTCTTTGAATATAATGACGACTCCGTCTCATTAACTGTAATGGATTTTAAAGAAAAAAAATTGCCCTTTTGTTAACTTACAAAATTTTACATTATCAAGGCTCCTTTACTTTTAAGAATAGTCGAGCGTTGCTGTCACAGCGACAGCTCTTGTTCAATATTATAGTGACAGGATATACGGAAGAATATGGACAGAATGAGATAATATCGTTTTAACGAGACGTAACTGCGGAGATGGCCTTTGTTGTTTACAGTATTCTTTATATGTATTGACCTAATTTGAATGTGGCCCTAACATTGAAAGAACATACAGGCTGTATATTATCATGTCAGTTTCATGCTTAGTTGGCCGTAGTGTACTCCCATATCAAAACCAGTTATTTGATGTCATCCAGTTGTTCATCTCTTGTTTGGCGGATGGGCAGAGGTCTTTATAAGATGACATAACATAGCATAACGTACCATGTTTATTTATTTATTTTTTAAAAAAATTTTTATAATACATTGAAAAATAAAAAAAAGCTTAATTATGGTGCTGAATGAAGTTTACCCTACAAAAGTTTTTGTCTTAAGTCTAATTTTATT